AAAGATATTTTTTTGATTAGTAATATGCATTGCTAAGAACTTAAGATAGTTGTATCTCGGCCAAATATTGTCCTATCCTAACAAACCATACATCCATGGAAATCTTATTTATTCAGCTTTCAGATTATGTATAAATCTCAATTTCGAAAAATTGACCCTTATGACTGGTTTTGTGGTCCAGGGTCACAAAAGTGGGTGGATTTCAGCTGTGGCGGGTAACACAGTCACTTCCACTAGCCACTCTGACGGGTTGAATTTTATATACAGTAACAGAGCTCGACATTAATGCTTGTCTGGGACAAGTGGATTTTTTGAAGGGGCAAGTGAAAGAAGAGATTTTTACTTGCCCGACCGGACAACTAATCTGATTAAAACATCTAATTAGGGAAGCACCGAAATTTCGGCGAGAATGATTGTGATTTTATTACATTCAGTGTCAACGGCAACTGATAATGGATAATTAACAGTAACAACAAGATATACTATAGCTTTAGCAAATATTGAATAATTAAGATAATTCAAAGCACAATTCATTATTGTGGCAGACAAGTAAATAATTGAACAGATGTTTAAAAAAATGACTCAATATAGAAGTCAATATATTGTTTTATGTTCATGACTGAACATCACTCCATCAGTAGCGTACAGCAAACAACAATGTATGCTGCAATCGAGTTTGTCAATTTGGAGTTTGTCAATCTGGAGTTTGTCATGTTGAGTTTGTCAAAACCTGATACTTTAAATGTCAAAAGTCTGCCTTTTTGGTAAAAGGCTAAAAATGCACCGTGTAATTTTTGTAATGTAAGGATATTATATTATATTACATTACAAAATGTGTACTTTTTGCACCTTTAGTGTCATCAAACGTTAATCCACTACTGGCCACATAAATACCAGGCCATGCAAACTTTTGAATTGGTGGAACGGAACCTGATACTTAACGGTTTATCATAAATAACAGTACACACACTCAATATCATTTATCCACTGACTTTGTACATGTAGTAAAACCTCTTGCCAGTACGTTTATCCCAGTTCATCTAATCTCACGAGTTCAGCTTCAACATCAGCTTCATTGCATTTAAAGAGATTACAGATTAATGCCATCACAAACAAGCTCACAGTAACACTATACTGCAACCTACCCTAAGCTTGCTATATTCCTTTAGCGTTAATAATATAGTGCGGACCACTGTTTATAAGATAAGATGTGTGACAAGGACAAAAAGTGTACTTTAACCAAAGTAAAACTGTACACATGTGATATAGGGTTGTCATTATACCAAAATATTCAGTAAATTTTCACAATTTTGATATGTATATAAGTAATATGCTAGTGAATACACTACTTGATAAAAAAATAAATACAATATTAACATAAATATTAACTAATTAAATTAAAACAATGGAATGTAATAAAGCTATAAATCTATTTTCATAAAATGTATTCAACAACATTGTTGTTTGATTAATATTATCTATTTTTATTAACTGCATGCACAGATATTGAAATTTTTAACAATTAAGTGTCTGGATTTGAAACATTCTTAAGAATTCCTACAAATAAAATTCTTCTAAATTATTTACTCCTAGTTTTCTAAAACATCTAATTAGGGAAGCACCGAAATTTCGGCGAGAATGATTGTGATTTTATTACATTCAGTGTCAACGGCAACTGATAATGGATAATTAACAGTAACAACAAGATCACGCCAGTTGAGGCTCACACAGCCTGTCTGTGAGAGAATCTCATGGAGAAATTAAAACTAACAACTGCACACAGAAGAAACATAAAAATGTTACTTAGTTTTTTATATTTATAACATACAGAATATGTTAATTGTTAAGCAACATGACCAAGAGAGTGACGTTTTCCCTGAAAACCACAACTGCAAATTTGACATTTTATACAAGAGTTAAAACAAGTAGTTAACATACATTTTAGTTCAATATTTGAATTTGAATTTATTGAAAGGATATATTGTCAGCGTTGACTGTTTTTGCTCAATTTGGTTAATGAAAATAGTTCCAAACAAAGATCACAGCAGAACAGTCGCGCATCTCTGAGCAACACACAGCGGTGTTGTTTCGCGTTTTTGAATTTTGAGTCAATGATTCAGTGGTCCATTCATAAAGACAGGCACTTGCTTCATTCGTGAATGAATCAGCTGTCTGAACGAATAGTTTGAAGGCATGCTTCAATGACTCATTAATTAAGACAGTCACTTGCTGCCACCTATTGGCGGTTTACTTTCATAGTAGATTATCTTTGCATTTTTTCCAACATTTCATATTTGTAGATTTAAAAAAAAAAAACTATTTTAAAACACCAAGCTCACATTATTTATGCTGTTATAATTTTGCAGTCTAAATGCATTCTTGCTATATTTCAGCTACATTGAACTGTCTGTGTAAATGCATCTAAATGCCACTCCAGTCACTTCCGTTTCTTCTGCAGTGGAAAGATCGGTTTTGTTGATACTGATTTAATTTGATTGGTAACAGCCCTATATTGTCTAATTATATTAATTGAAATTATTAATAAAATGTAAGAATTTGATATGAAAGATGATGCATGTATTTAATACGGTTAGGGGAAAATGCCCTATAAATAGGCCAAAAATGACCTGGAAATCAATTTAAATACATTTTTGTATGCAGTATTAAGTCAAATAAAACGTAATTTCCCAACAACAAAATTGTGGCCAGTGAAAATGCTGAGTGGCTAGTAAATTTGGAAAACCACTAGCCACAGTGGCTGGTGAGCAAAAAAGTTAATGTCAAGCCCTGCTTGTAACCCTATCAGATGCTTGTGTTCCAGATGGAAACACTAAGGGTTATCAAAAGGGAGAGAGAGAGACAGAAAGGCCTTTAAGAGACCAGGCGGATCCCCTCTAAGCATGTTCTCTTCAGGTAATAACGACTTCCCAGAAACACACTAATGGCTATTCTACAATTTACTATCTGACAGTAATGTTGAGTAATAATTTACAGTGGAAAACGAAAAGGTCCTCTCTCCTGAGTTTATTGTATTCTTAAAGGGCTAGTTCACCCAAAAATTAACATTTTGTCATCGTTTACTCACCCTTATGTTGTTCTGAACCTTTATGAATTTCTTTCTTCTGTTGAGCACAAAAGAAGATATTTTGAAGAATGTTGGTAACCAAACAGTTGCTGGCAGCCATTGACTTCCATAGTATGGGGGGGGGAAAAATCCTATGAAAGTCAATGGCTACCTATTTGGAAAGAAACTCGTACAGGTTTGGAACAACTTAGTGGGGAGTAAATGACGACAGATTTTTAAATTTTGGGTGAGCTATCCCTTTAGGAATACTTTTGTGAATCTGGTCTAGATTGTTTATTTCCTAAATCTATAAACCAACTGTTTACCAAGAAATGTGTTTGACCACTTATGGTCAGTCGTAAGCACAAGCACTCGTCAACATCTTTATTATTTCAGCATCAACTTTGTACCAAAGTACCAGTAGTTTGAGATCCTTAGTGCTCATATCACCAGTGCATGAAGTCTGCATTATCTTGTATCTCTGTATTGGTGCATGTATTCGTACTTCTTCAAAAACACACCCACGGGTTTCAAACACAACATGCCAACAGCTAAGAGGTGTCAGGGTTGTTTTTATGGCCGTTTTTGAAGGGGTCGAATTTATCTTATGAAGGATCGCTCCACAAATGACACTTAGGCAAGCGTGCACCTTTTTTTAGAGGCCAAAAACAGGAAGAATGAGTTTTTGTGTGGTTTTTGGGTAGCTGCATATGAGGTCTTAAAGGGTTAGTTCACCTAAAAATGAAAATTGGCTTGTGTTTTACTCACCCTCGAAGCATCCTAGGTGTATATGACTTTCTTCTTTCAGACAAATCCAGTTGGAGTTATATTAAAAATTGTCCTGGCTATTCCAAGCTCTATCATTGCAGTCAGCGGGTGTTGCAGTTGAACAGTCCACAAGTCGTCAAATAAAGCGCATGCATTCATAATAAAACGTGCTTTACACGGCTCCGTGGGTGAATAAATGTCTTCTGTAGTGAATCCATGCGTTTTTGTAAGAAAAATATCCATATTTCAAATGTAATAAACCCTTTTCTCTCACTTCCGTTTTCTGTCATACGGGGAAGGCGTTCTGGCGGAAGGCGTATGACGTATGCGCAGCGCGCGCACCTCTTGAGGTATGCTAGTCTCACGAGTTTGTTTATAGGAGCAAAGGAAGCAATGTTTCCTTACTTTAGCAAAGGAAAACCAGTCTCCTCTTGGTTTATATCGAAATCCTCCGACATTTTTCTTTGCAAATCTTCGGTTTGTTCTTCTAATTCGTGACCGGTGTTTTGTTTTTTTCTCTCTCCGCGTTCGTCACTAATCACGCAACGCCGACGTGCTACGACATCCGCCGGCGCGGCTTCCGCGTATGACAGTTAGATGAAGTGAGAGAGAAGTGTTTATTATGTTTGAAATATGGATATTTTTCTTACAAAAACGCATGGATTCACTACAGAAGGCCTTTATTCACCCCCGTAGCCGTGTGAAGCACGTTTTATTATGAATGCGTGTGCTTTATTTGACAACTTGTGGACTGTTCAACTGCAACACCCGCTGACTGCAATGATAGAGCTTGGAAAAGCCAGGACAATTTTTAATATAACTCTGACTGGATTCGTCTGAAAGAAGAAAGTCATATACGAGGGTGAGCAAAACATAAGCCAGTTTTCATTTTTGGGTGAACTAACCCTTTAAGTGCGAAAGGGACAGGATGATGTGGCAGCAATTCAGAACAAGAGCTTCACATTTTCCAAAAGAAATGTTACTGATAATTGGCAGTGCAAATCCACGTTACTTGGGTGTTCCTGGGTGGTTTCTAAGGCATTGCAAAATTCTTCCTTTAATGTATGTCTAGGGAACATTATAAGACTGATGGCTTAAAAAGTACTAGCACATGTTTCCTTTGTTGTACAGTTTGAAGCATCACTCATTTCTATAGCAAAAATAAAATACTTAGTAAAAGCTTCATTGGCAGGAGGACAGAAACATATTGAGACTTACTCCCTGAAGGACCTGGAAGCTGTCCCCACATGGCTGAAGATCCTGATCAGGGTCCACTCCAACTCTGAAAGAGAGAGAAACTGCACATCAGTCTGCCTGTGTGCATCTGTGACATGAGCTTTCCCCACAGTGCATATGCAGCCAAATATGTACCACAACCTTTCAGCAAAGCCCACAAACGGCAGCAGCACGAAGAAAAGATAATAAGCAGGCGAAATGGACTCAAGCAGAGCTATATTGATCATATTGCAATCTCATTTCACAGAACATACCTACTGCAGCAAGGCAAGGTTTCCACTGAGAAGAAGTTACACAAATAAATCATAAGGTCTACAGGCAACTCCACTCATTTGTCTTCTACAGCTGGTCACAGGCTAAAACTTCTAGTTTTTGACATCATCTAATTTAAATAAAACGACCACAAAGGAGCATGTAAAAACAAAATGAACAAAGGATGATCAAAATATCGAAAATATATTTGATATATTAAATACATGGCAGGAATGTACATAATACAGAATACACAACAAGTTTAAATAGACTTCATGACTGATGTTACTTTTACTTACACTTTTAAGTCGAATGTAGTATAAAGAATTACCATTTTGGTTATAGTGTTATTTTGATAACACTATAGCTCAAATAAAATATCAATATTAGATGAAAAAAACATTTCTAAATTTTGTTTAAGCGCAAGTATTAAAATTACTAAAACTGAAAAACTAAATTAAAGCGGAAATATATTTTTAAAAACTAACAAAAAGACAAAAACACAAAATTACTAAAACTAAATACAAATTTAAAACATGAAAATAAAAGCTGGTTAAAAAAATGTAAGAAATCCACGCAATGAAATACTCTCATGAACGTGTGGCGAAGACTGACACGGAAGAGAAGAAATTGTTGAATTAAGTCATTATTTTTGTTTTCTTTACACACAAAAAGCATTCTCGTAGCTTCATAACATTACAGTTGAACCACTGATGTCACGTGGATTATTTTAATGATGTCCTAACTACCTTTCTGGGCCTTGACCGTGTCAGCTGCGTTGCTGTCAATGTCGGGTCAGAAAGCTCTCGGATTTCATCAAAAATATCTTCATTTGTGTTCCAAAGATGAACAAAGGTCTTACAGGTTTGGAAAGACATGAGGGTGAGTAATTAATGACAGAATTTTCATTTTTGGGTCAACTATCCCTTTAATATCAGTTCATCCCTGTTTGCTTTATGTCAAAACTGTATTTTCCTGTGTAAGTGAACAGTTCTTGGCCAGAATAAACAAATGCAAAGTGGAACAGACTTCCATCTGGATCAGAGACCAAACTTGTGTGGAGAGCCAGACATGTTCTCCCATTCGCTTGACTGGCTGAAATACGAGGAGAACCCAGCAGACCTTTAGAGCTCTGAGGGTGAGGCTTTGCTGAGATAAGTGATACACTAGGTGAACTTTCACTCTGGCCTTTAAGTACATTTACTGATCTTTGGTCCTATGGCTCGTCTTTCATTCTCCCTCTCAATTAAAACAGTGGATATGACGCGGCCGCTGGCTTTTGAACCCCAAGGATCAACAGAGACTTCATTGTGAAGTCAGACACAGCTTGAGGGTTAGCAGAAGCTCAGGCGTTCTGAGCCTCTAGTGCCGCCCATGTGGACAAATGTCAATGAAAACAGAAAGAGCTGACTTATTATCTGTTTTTGCAATGACAAGCAGCTAAAACTTTACTGAACATCTTATCTTTTTATAGTCAGCAAGGAATATTTGTCTCCCAAAATGTGGGTGAAAAAACAGTTAACATACTTCTGCCAATACCAGTGTTTCATTTCTGGGTGACAGACCGGGTGTCTTTACAAGCTGCTGTTGTTTCTATCACATCTAGAGGAGAACTGTCGGTAAAACAAAAAAAGAGTTTTCGCCCCAGTGGTTTATAGAAAGGGTGCCTAAGTTGTCCAAACAGGACTTACAGCTCTGGGTTACAGATCAGGGGAAGATTTGCTTACACACAAGTTACACTGGGAAATGGGAAACAGTGGAGAAGGAAGGAGCTTGAACTTTGCTGAAGGAATGCTTGAAGCTAAAGATCTGTATTTATTTATTTGTCCTAAAGACTTGCAAGTTGAAAAGGAATAAAATGGAGGGGCTCGGAGGAAGAACGGCAAGAGATAAAACAAAACAGAAAAATGAAATACAAGGAAATCAAAGAATATCTTGGAGTTAAATAATACAAACATTAGGCTACTGCAGCTGGAGGGTGGGCTACAATAAAGGGTCACATGGAGGTCAGAGGAGCCAGTTATGACAACAAAAAGAAACAAGGCAAAAATTGAGGAAGAGTACTACACAGTATGCACACGCGTGTGCAGAAAGCATACAAGCGTGGTGGATACCAAACATTTCCTTTCTGCAAGACGGACAGAGCAGCTCTCGCTGTCAGCCTGTGTGTGCGGTTGCTAATATACTGAAGCCAAGCAAGCCAAGGGCAGCAGATTGTTTTGAATGCAGGTATAAGAGGAAGCTTATTCATTTCGTAAGACTAATCTTTCTTTTGATGCCTTGGTATTACTCATCTGCAGGCTTAAGCCAGGAGGATGTCGAGTCTTTGCCAGTGAGCTTTGTGTACAGATTTCCTTTAGCACCCCAACGTGAAAACAGGAGCGACAGCGCACACACATTCTTTCAAAGCGACTCCCACCAGTTTTAAATACAGCCCTGGAAGAAATGGACTGGCACATCATGGAGACTAACCACTGAGAACAAACATTTGAGTGTGCAAAGGAAGTTAACTGCTTATAAAGGGGTGCTGTAATGATTTATACGGAGTAGAAAAAGAGAAGAAGATTTTTGCAGGAGTACAATAGATATCAGCAGTAAAGGATTAGAAATTAAATTAAATTAAAATAATAAAGTAGAAAATATATTAGATTAGAATGTTTGCATTGAAATTCCAGCCACCATTTTTGTTTAATAAAAAAAAAGAAATATTGTATAAACCCTTTGTGTGTGGAGAAACTATTGTGAAGAAAAACAAACAAAAGCTACAAATAGAAAATATACATTTGTACCATCTGTAACCAAAAAAAAAAATTATAATAAAAATAATTTCTTTTGCATAGATATTTTCAGCCCAGTGTGTCCAAAATTGTTGATTTCAGACAGGAATTTTCATTTCTATACATCACTGTAAAATAAAACAGGATAGGAACAGGAGCAGAAAAGATTTCGCAGGAATACTGTAGAGTAATAGGTGTACAATAGAGTCTTAAGCAATCAAGAGATGTGTGCTTGATTAAAGCAGAAGCCCAGACATTACAGTGTCAAACACCAACGCAAACGACTGCTTCTAATGTGCATTTTACCAGGTGAAGTCAAAAGGTCACCACCACCTGTATAAGAGTTCAAAGTCCATCATCACCTGACATAATTCCACAGTCTACGCAGCCTCTCCTTCTCTGCAGCAGACGTCTCTCCAACCCTGAGCACAACACAGAACTCTTGAGACCAGCCCTGAAAACATCAAACATCCTAACAGCTTCTACTGAGAAAAGACTTCAAACTCTGAGGTTTCTCTGACTGCAAAGATTGGTCTTTGTGTCTATGTATTGGTATTTGTGTTTCTTGGTACATAACTACATATGAAAACACACAAAAAAAATAATAATTAAATGAGGGAATTAATTTACAAAAGAGTGATGTAATGGTTAAATGCTCCTCCTAGGCATTTGCCGAACAGAGACAGAAGAAGTCAAATTATGTTGGTCAAACGGCATTTAAACTCTTTCTGCAAAACAGACATTTCCTTTCTGATACATAAAGTATGTTTGCGGCTTCACATTCCTGCTCTGAATTGGCTCTCTGTGTGCAGAGCTCAATGTTTATAGAGTAAGTGGAACCTCCTGGGACTGTTCTAGAAAAGGCAGAACTGGCCAGCACAGAGGAAGAAAGTCTAAACCAATGCCGAAGAGAATCGTCTGAGCAACAGACAGCCTCCAACCACTGTCAGGCCATTTCAAAACTGTCATAAAACTGTATATAAGCTTTTCTAAGTTTTCATACAGCAGTTTGTTAAAATAAGAATAACATTAAACATTAAACAAAAAAATTCTATAAAAAAACTAAAATTAACATTAAAAATTAAATACTAAAAATAAATTAAAATGAACATTAATTAAAAATAAGTTAAATGTAAAATTAAACAATAAATCATTAAAAATTGAAATATTAAAATAAATCAATAGTAAAGTAATACAACGGTCACATGAATACCTTTATGAAAAACATCATTAAATGTGGATGTGAAAGTAGCCATGCTTTGCATTCTGATGTGTTTTTTTTTCCTAGCACTCAAGACACTACATTGACAAATGCCTAAAGTACACCATCGATTCCAGTTTCAAAAGGGAGCTATGCAAAAGCCTCTCTTTAATCTCAGGTGACCTGGTCAGCTTGAATAAAAGCAGTGGCACCCCATCTGTTTCTTTGAGCTGAATGTGAGCCTATTCTTTCATCCACACTTAAGTACAGTAGCTTTGCACATTTTGTTTTCAACGAGTTATCTGATTGCTTATTTTAATTGCACATTGATTAGTCTGCAGCTGCCCAAAGCAGGAGACGACCACAGTCGAGTTAAGAATAGTGTGTACGTGTGAGTATTGGAGAGCAGCCCTCACTCAACATGGAAAAATGTAGCGTGAGCCAGTCTAGGGGTCAACTGTAGTGCATTTATGGAAATGGAAACCCTTTGGAGAATGAGAGAGAATAACCTCCATCAAATTTAGTTGAAAAGTAGATCAACAAAAGGCCAGCGGTGGAATCCCTAAATGCTCAGGAAACACAGCAGGCAGAAAAATCACTACTGTTAATACACTAATGCACCTTGTGACCAAAGGATTGTTACTCTTGCTGTGCAGAATTTAAAATGAGAAACCCAAAATGTCTCTTTAATCCGCCTGTTTAATTGTCTTATTATTGTCCTACATGCAAAATTCATGAAACTAAAGTTGCTATGCTCTTACACTAAGTGAAGATGATTTGATCCTTTGTAATGTCGCTTTGTAAAAATGTTCAGTTGTGTTGTATTGTCAATTAACATGAAGCAACAACATACATTTGCTACTCAACCTGTGCTAATTAACAATTAATTCAACTATACTGCTGTAGAGCAACCGCCCACACTATGCATACAAAGGGAAATTAAAGGCCCTTCAGAAAGAAACAGGAAAGGATCAATATCAGCATCCATTACATTTTTGCACTGCAGAAACTCTTAAATCTCAGCTTTGCATATGGTGCATTGCATATTTTGCATGCTATGGTATA